AGCAGGACGAGAGGGGGTCCGGGGCTCGGGTCGTGGTTTGTCCTGCTGTTGCCGTTTTGTTCGTGGTGTCGGATCTCAGGGGCCCCGTGCTGTCGAAGAGGAGAAACGGCATAAGCATATGCTAGCCAGCGTGGACCCCAAGCTTCCAGTCACTGCACAATAGACATGTCAGCTCACTTATGTGGTGCAAGCGATGTGGTTTCACTTATGTGGTGCACTTAACTCGTGCTCACTAATGAGCTGCCAACTGCACTGCTCGCGCAATCATCCCACCCTCCCACCCGCAACTTGTTTTGCGTTGCCCATGCGGCCGTGCTTGCGGTGACTCCTTGGCGCTGGCTGGCGCATCTCTGCGGCTGCGCTAGCGCGCGCAAGCTCACGCGCAGAGCGGCCAGTTGGTTTGGCGCAGCCGATATGGCCGCGATAGCGCTTACCGACGGTGATTTCCCAGCGCGTCTCAAAGGCCGCGCTGGCGCGCGGGCACGTAATGCGGGTCAGTAGCTCAGGCGGGCGCGGTGTCATGATGACGTCGACAACGACGGCAGCGATGATGATAATGGCGATGGTGGCGGCGATGATGACGACAACGACGACGACGACGACGACGACGATGACGGCAAGGCCAATGACGGTGCAGATGCTGATGACGACGATGTCGATGATGATGTAGATGAGTCGGTGATGGAGGTGTTTGAGTGATGACGGTGGCAATGGAGACGATTGTCTATGACGATGACGTGATGCGGCGCGTGGTACTTTTGATGCGGATTCGCGCTTTGGGCGCATTCCGGATCAACGCTGATGCACCGCGTAGTAGGATGAGAGTGCGTGTTTTGTACAAACTTGCCAAGTCCATATGGTTTCCTCAAGAGTCCAGCACATGCGCGCGGGGAGAAAAATTGCAAAATGATGAAGTACATACGGCTTGTTACGTTTTAATGTTGAAGTGCTTGCGTAATTATTTGTTTTGCTATGGTTTCGTTATGTGCGCGCTCGTGTGGACTTTGTGCAGCTCATTCGAAATAAACCGTGATATTTTGCGAGAATCGAGTGCGCGCGACTTGTATCAATAGACGGGGGTGATGGGGGCGATGCTGGTCGGCCTGGCATGGTATGAGTTCATACGGACAATGAACGACGAGGCAGAATCATATGTCATTTGCTGCGTCCCAGGGAGGGTCGATCAGTTCATGTTTTACAAAGACGAGAAAGCGGTGCAAGCTAGAGAAAGCGACGAGGCGGAAACGGGCGGCAACGTGGCCAAATGTCGCCAGACCCACCCAGCGCACGATGCGGCGACGAGGCGGAAACGTGCGGCAACGTGGCGAAACCTCGCCAGATCCACCCAGCGCACGATGCGGCGACGATGCGGCAACGGGCGGTAATGTGGCGAAACCTCACACGACACTACCAGCGCACGAGGGGGCAATGATACAGCAACGGGGGGTAACGTGGCGAAGCCTTACTGGACCCAACCAGCCCGCGAGGTGGCAACGAGTGGCAACGGGCGGTAACGTGGCGGTACCTCGCCAGGCTCACCCAGCGCACAAGGCGGCAACGAGGCGGCAACGGGCGGCAACGTGGCGAAACCTCGCCAGAAGCAAGAACCCCTAAGTGCAAGCACTGTTTAGGGGAAAACTGGCCGAGCGCTCCGCGCAGATTTCTTGGACCGGCGCTGGGGCCCCCTCTTGCAGCGCCTCTGGCACGGCCCCTGGCGCGCTTCGCGCGCTGGAGAGGGGGGTCCAGCGCCGATCCAAGAAATATTCGCGCGAGCTTCGTAAAGTTTATGCTGATGCCGCGTTTTCGGTTCACCTGCTGATGCTTCTGCTTGCTGGGCCGCCGGGCCGCGAGAGTGTTGGACTGCCGCGTCGCCTGAGGCCGACGTTCTGACGCGTGCGCCTTCCTTTTCAGAAAGCTCCCCGGGTGTCAGTATCGTTTCACCGACCCCCATCCCCCTTCCCCTTCCCCTTCGAGAGTCCCCCCCAGATTACCCCCCCAGTCGGGGATGCACCCCTCGAAACCCGAAGGGAGCGGCCTGCGCCCCATTAAAAGGGGGGGGGGGGGACCCGGCCCGCGGGGCCCAGGCCACGCCGCTGGGGATGGGGGTCGGAGCAAAACGATGCTCAGAGGGTGCGAGCGCGTGGGGCCCCCCCCCCTCCGCCTCCACGGCATGAGGTCCCCGGGGAGAGCACAGCAGAAAACGAGTCACGGTCCGCAGGCCCGGCGTGTGCTCCGCAGTGCTGCCCTGGCCGTTTCTGGTCGTGTGTCCCCCTGGGAGTGCGGTTTCGCAGGGGGCTTCGCTCGTGGGCGTGCCGATTCCGAGGGCGGTTCTGCCATCTTCTTTTTACCTAACAGCGAAGACTGATAGGTTTCTAGTGGGATCAAAAGAGAGCAGCAGATCACTCCACAGGGGGGTCCGGGCAGGTGTTGGGAGTTGCCGGGCGGCAGTGAGCCGGGCTCGTTTTTCACCAACAGTCACACACTTCGTGCTCTTCGCCTTCCCAGAACTCCATTCCCAGGCCACATTCTGGGGGGCCGGATGCAACTGTAGGCCACTTCGTGCTCTTCGACATCCCAGAACGCCATTCCCGGGCCACATTCTGGATGCCCGGAGCCAACTGTAGGCCACTTCGTGCTCTTCCATTTCCCAGAACTCCATTCCCGGGCCACATTTTGGATGCCCGGAGCCAACTGTAAGCCACTTCGTGCTCTTCGAGTTCCCAGAACTCCATTCCCGGGCCACATTTTGGATGCCCGGAGCCAACTCTAGTCCACTTCCTGGTCTTCGAGTTCCCAGAACTCCATTCCCGGGCCACATTTTGAATAGCCAGACGCTTCATATTCCTTCCGCCACAGCTGTGTTTGGTTCAGGACTTGCTAGTGACACTGCAGTCCTCTGCATTCAATCGTGCCACTGCATTCATTCACTGCAGTCCACTGAGTTTTGATTGCAATGGCGTTCCCCTGGCCGTACCCCCATGTCCAACGTTCATCCGCAGCCTCTGCTCCGCGAGGCTCGTCCGAAGTGTCGCCGCCTCGCGGTGCTTCTCAGCCTGCGCCGCCTCGCGGTGCTTCTCAGCCTGCGGAGGAAGGTGGACAGACGCCTGGTTCTGGCGCTGTGCAGCCTGCGTCTTTCACGGTCGCCTCGTTCAATTTCGGGTTCGAGCAGGGCATGATGACTGGTAAGCAGGCGGCCACTCACTGCGCTAACTTCGGAAGGTTGTGCGCCACGATAGTGGAGACCGCTGATGCTGATATTGTCTGTGGCTGCGAGGTCGGTGCGTTCCGTGAAGGCTTTCGCCGAGCAGGGATCAACGTGACAGAGATCCTCAGTAAGCCTTTCGGTGATGGCATTCGCTTCTCGGAGGTCGACAACTACTTGACTCTCTGGGGGTTCCGCGGTGCTTCTCAGCCTGCGGAACTGTTTCTGGATTACAGCAAAGTTTACAGGCCTCCTAGCGGCCGAGAGATTGATGCTGTTATTTCACATTTTGAGGTGAACAAACCAGGCCATGACAAGTTCCACGTGGTGATCGCCAACATGCACATCGTGTGCGGCAAGAAACCGCCGACCATCCAGACTCGAAAGCGGACAGTTCGCCATCTCCGCTTGCACCTGGACGGCCTGGCCAAGATTCTTGAGAATCTAAACCAGGCAGTCGTTCTGCTTGTAGTCGGCGACGACAACCTCACTTTCCAGGAGGCGCGGGAGGCTTACCAGCGCCAGCAGAACGACGAGAAGGTATGGGAGGTCCATGCCACTCCGGCCGACCTCAAAGGCGACCACGTCGCGGTCTGCGGAGCAGTCGCCCGTTTCTGCTCCATTGCCGTTGGCGCGTCTTTTACGGATCGTGGCATGCGCAACGACGCACACGATGCGGTGGCGGTTGTGCTCACTCTCCCTGGTGCTATTCAGCCTGGGGAGAGCAAGAGGCGGAAGATTGTCGTCGAAAACGTCTCCGACGCCGACGTCAGCGTACAGGCGGACCGCGAGTCTTCTGTGCATTGGGATCGGTCGCCGAGTTCTACTCCTCCGCTTTCACCGACTTCACCGGGTGATCCCGACTACGTCGAGGATGTCGTTCAGAATCGCGCGGACGACTTGCACAGGGAGCTGAGGCAGCTTTGGGACGACAGGTACGACGAGGAGTACGATCCGAAAGTCCTCCATCATCTCAGTCTCTTGCTTTTCAAAAAGAGGAAGTCCACGGAGCCAGCGGACACTGATCCAGCTGGCGCTCCTCAGCCTGGCTCGGAATATGACACGGCCTTTGCGTCTCAGGAGGAGACTGGCCGAGCCATTCTCTCTGTCCTTAAGCTTCGACATGACTTTCTGCGGAGCAAGAACATCGACGACATGCGCTACGTTCTCACGGAGCCTGAGCGCCAGGAATTGGTCAGAGTAGCTCGCGACCAGTACGAGCAGTCGCGGCAGCAGCGTGCGCTTCAGGAACGGGATATCGAAAAGGGAAAAGCGAAAGGCAAGTCTGCGCCACAAGGGGGCCATGCGGTTCCGCAGGGTCCTAACAAAGGGCCAGGCGGTAAGAAAGGTTCTCACGGTGCTTCTCAGCCTGCGGGAAAAGGTGGCCAGGCCAAGGGTGCAGGTCTGGGTAGCGTCGCCAAGTTTGTGAAAGACCAGAAGCGTAAGCGGTGGCATCGCCATTTGCAACGTGTGGCCGGTACCAAACAGATCTGGGAGGTGCTGGCCTTCTCAGGGCGCTTCGACGTTGATTGGCTAACGCAAGCGTTGCAAGCTGATCACGAGGGCCGTGATGCAGCAGTTCCCGAGGAAGCTCTGCGGCAACAGCGGCGCCGGCTGCACCACCAGAAGGCCGAGGCCATCGCGCGCTACAACGAGGGGGAGCGGCTTTCCCTCCATCTGTCTGCCCAGGCTGGCCAGCCAAAGCCGAACTTCACGCGCAGGCAGCTGGACGTGTTGCAGATGTTTGAGAGCGGAGCGCTGCTTCAAATCCGCAACCAAGCGATTCTGGCGTTGGGGC